TTCTTTCTTTCTTTCTTTCTTTCTTTCTTTCTTTCTTTCTTTCTTTCCTTTTTGCATTCACATTCACATGCTTATTTGTACTAGGTATAACATTATGAGATTAAAAGTGAATAATTTTGACTAATAATTCAAAGAAAATTTAAAAAAGAATGATTACCATTCATATGTAACTAAAAACTGAACAATTTTCTAATGAGACCCTCCAGAACTGCAGTCCATTGCCATTTTAAGCGAAAATACATGTGATTATGTAATTAATAGGTGACAAAGGACCTTACTGAACACTCATCTTAATGCTTTCTTTTTACCAGGGAAGACTCAAAAACTCCGGGGGAAACTGTGTGTGTGTGTGTGTGTGTGTGTGTGTGTGTCTGGGTGTGTGTCTGGGCGTGTGGGGGTATGGGTGTATGGGTGTGTGGGTGTATGAGTGTGTGTGTTTGGGTGTATGAGTGTGTGGGTGTATGGGTGTGGGGGGTGTGGGTGTGTGGGTGTATGGGTGTGTGTGTGTGTGTATGGGGGTGTGGGTGTGTGGGTGTGTGGATGTATGTGTGTGTGTGTGTGTGTGTGTGTGTGTGTGTGGGTGGGTGGGTGGGTGTGTGTGGGTGTTTGGGTGTCTGGGCACTGGCATACAATTCCCATTGGTTCTGTCCAGGGCTGGATTATCTCTTTCCTGCACTGGGTGCTATTCTCTTTCTTCCAGGTCACATTTACTGTACAATACAGCCCTCCAGTCCCAAGCTCCTCTAGGTTAGTGTGTGTAGCACATCTGTAGCTAAATGCACATAGCAGCAACCAGGTATTTTACAAGAGCATCATGTTTCCTCAACAGGCGTAGAGAAAAATGACCTGTACATTTGAAATGAAAGAAGGCGGTGGCTGAACTATTAGTAGGACCTGTCCTTAATGTGACAGGTGACATGAATGGAATGATCGGGAGGAAAGTCCCTCCATGATATTCCAGACAGTGTAGGCAGATTCTTCTTAAATCTTCTTACTTTTTATTAAATAGAAAATTTTATCCACTTGTGTTAGCTCTTATATATCATCTCTCTGCCCACTTGTCCATCTGTCTATCCATCTGTCCATAAATACATTACCCATCTGTCTGTCCATCCATCCATCCGTCTGTCTGTATGTATGTCCGTCTGTCAGTTTATCTACCTATTTCAACATGGGACTTCTTTTTTTATTTTTTAAATTTTTTAAAATTTTTATTAATTACACTTTATTCACTTTGTATCCCCCCATGAACACCTCCCTCCTCCCCCCCAGCCCCACCCACCCTCTCCCTTCTCTACGCATGCCCCTCTCTAAGTCCACTGATAGGTGAGGTCTTCCTCTGCTGCCTTCTGATCCTAGTCTATCAGGTCTCATCAGGACTGGCTGCATTGTCTTCCTCTGTGGCCCGGTAAGGCTCCTCCTCCCTCGGGGAAGTGATCAAAGAGCAAGCCACTGAGTTCATGTCAGAGACAGTCTCTGTTCCCATTACTAGGGAACCCTCTTGGACACTGAACTGTCAGGGGCTACATTGGTGCAAGGGTTCTAGATAATCTCCATGAATGGTCCTTGATTGGAGTATCAGTCTCAGAAAAGACCCCTGTGCCCAGCTTTTTTGGTTCTGTTGTTCTCCTTGTGGAGCTCCTGTCCTATCCAGTCAACCTGGGAATTCTTACAAAGTAGCTGTGTTTAGGTTAGCTCTCTTCCCCTTCCTTCCTCATATACACATAGGAAACTGGAATCCCTTTATGTGAAGATATGACGTAAAACTTGAAGATGGTCTTACAGTCTCTCCAACTGGAACAAAAATTTTCTTCAAATCCACAAATGAGCTCTTGCTTATGTCTTCTTTGGAATTCCTCTTGGGTTGTGTTTCAGTCGTGGAAGATGTTAACAAAGTAACAAAGCATTGCCCCTGGGAGGCTCATGGCTTAGGTGAATAAGCCTGCTGCAAGCATTGCACAGATGGCAGGAATATCACCCAGTCTGGATTCTTCTACTTTTCAACTTATAATTTCAGGTAACAAGTCTTTTCCCACCAACTTTCCTCACCCACCCTCCCCTCATCAGCGATTATAATTTTCTTTCTTTCTTCAGTCTTTCTTGGGACACTGATCAGTTTTAGTTTAGTTAGCTCTAAGGTCCTATATCCATATATATATAATATTAAATATCTAAATTACAAAATATATTTGCATTTATATAGAACATATGTATATTGATTTTATACAATGCATTTTGAACATCTCCACTCCCAACTTTTTCTTTTAACACCTTCCAGATCCCCTACCTCCCTACCAGTCAATTTCACTTATTGATTTTTTATAACTCATTGATGCTAATTTGTGCTGCTCATATACTCCTAGGTGTGTGGTGATCCCTTGGAGAGTGGTCATCCAACCGGGAGCCACACTCTTAAAGAAAACTTCCCCTAGAAGCCATCCACTGTCCATAGGTTCAGATCCTCAGTTAAGGGGGGGGGGCTTACAAACCCTTCTTCCCTTCAGACTAGAATACTGATTGCCTCAGTTTTGTTCAGGGATTATGTAGGCAACCACAACTGCTGTGAGTTCATGAGCTCAGTGATCCTGTCATGACCAAAAGATGCCGCTTCACTCTAGCCCTCCCTAATTGAGGCTCTTACACTTTCTGCCTTCTCTTCTACAATGTCCTCTGTGCCATATGGAGGTGCTATGAGATAGAATATCCCATCTGTGGCTCAGTGCTCCACTCACCCTTAATCTCTGCACGTTCATCCCTCCTCTTTCTTACTACTCTGTTCCATTTCTGAATTCATTCCTGTTCTCCCCTGAAGAGATGACCTGGTACCATTTATAGAAGTAGCTAGGAAACTAAGAAAAAAAATGCAGATAAAAATATAGGAATGTCAACTTTCAAATATAATTTAGATTTGCTGATATATTTATGACCTCGCTGCAACCTATAGAGCAGAAGATACCTAAATACGATTTCCATGAATAGATTCTGTAGCTTTCTAGCCCATATTTAGAAGAGGCTTAGGGATCATTCTTACTCTAAATGTATTCAGAGGAGAAGTTAGCACCTCCATACATCACGGAGATTAAGAATTCTCTCAAGATGCCATTGAATATAATAACATTTGGACAGAAAATTCAAGACATGGGGGAGCCAGTGTAGAAATAATGCCTTGGCCAGTCAATGAGAACAGAATGTTGCCAAAACTATAAGCTTGCTCCCCTCCACCCATGTCCTGTATTTTATTACAAATCTGGAGGTTTTAGATTTTCTGAGATAAAAGCAGACTTGTGTTTGAAGGGTCACAGTAACCTTGTCCCTGTTTACCTTCATGGCTCTCACCACACCCCGGGCACAGTTTTTCTTGGTATCTAAACTATTTAACTCAAGCTGCAGTTCATAATAGCTTGCTTGGCTCCCATCACAAGTATGTTTTACTGTTAGTTTTAACTTCTGCAAAGTATTTTCTTTTATATCAAGAACTGCCCATTAAATCAGCCAGTCCCACAACTATCATAAATATTTCTTTTAAAGTCCATTCTCTTTTAAGTTTTCTACCCAAGAAGAAAGGCAGAAATAGCTGCAAAAAAAAAAAAAAAACCCAACAACAAACAAACAAAAAAACTTTCTCACTAGAGTGAAGGTTTCAGATCACCTTGTTTCATGGAATCTGGCGTGGTTTGGGAACAGAATTAGGAAACAGTGTTACAGTGAAGAAACTGAAATGCACAGGGGTGAGCTGCATGGTATCTGAGATCACACTGATTGCTCTTTCCAGTTTTTGCAGTCAGATGACTCTGTCTTCAGTGGCAGAGGGAGCAGCAGGGCTTGAGCCTCAAGGAGGAAAGCATCAATTTGCTATTTCCTTTCCATAGCATCCCTATGGGAGGCCATTTCACAACATCCCAGGACCCAGAAAGGAGAGTTTGTGATGTTTGTCTCCCCATTAGCTATTTTGTGAGGGGGGTCATGAAGCCCAGGACTGGCCACGACCGCTGCTTTGCATGCTGGAGGTTTGGAACGGCCCTTGCATTCCTGGCTTCTCTTGTTGCCTTAGAAATCTGAGAGTTGGCCGTTCTGGGCTAGGTGCCTCAAGGAAACTGCTTATAGGCTAGCCCGGCTTTATAGAAAGGATACTTTGCTGAAAAATTCTGAGTACACATATGGTTTCGATCAATAAAATTTTATTTTACATGTACCTAGGTAGTCTGTTTAAAGACTCCCATGATGGATCATTTTGTAAAGTGGAAAAATCACCTTTCAACATATTCTTTGTGCAAATTTACATTTTCATGAATAAGTTTACTTCAAACACCTGACCCTGTTCATTTCTAGAGAGGCTACATGGAATAGCTTTGTGGAGAAACTTCTGTCTCCTCCC